TATACCCCCCGGACATTTACCCCTCAGACAATTACCCCCGGACATTTACCCCGGACAATTACCCCCGGACATTTACCCCGGACAATTACTCCCCGGACATTATCCCCCGCGACAATTACCCCTCGGACATTTACCCCAGGACAATTACCCCCAACTTTACTCACTTGGTGTTTATTATTCATTGTTGAACAGTGATACAGGCAGGAGTCGAGGAGGAGGGAAGAAGGTGGTGGAAGAGGAGGGGAGAAGGTGGGGAGGTGGTGGAGGAGGAGGAGGAGAGGAGAGAGAGAGGTGGAGGAGGAGGGAGAAGGAGAGGAGGTGGAGGAGGAGGAGGGGAGAACGTGGGGAGAACTGGTGGGGATGGGAGGGGAGAAGGTGGAGGAGGAGGAGGAGGAGGGAGGAGAGGTGGAGGAGGAGGAGGAGGAGGAGGAGGAGAGGAGGAGAGGAAGGTGGTGGAGGAGGAGGAGGAGGAGGAGGAGGAGGAGGAGAGGATGGGGAGGAGGAGGATGGAGAGAACGTGGGGAGAAGGTGGTGGAGGAGAAGGGGAAAAGGTGGAGGAGGAGGGGGAGAAGTGGAGGAGGAGGGGGAGAAGGTGGAGGAGGAGAGGAGAGGAGGAGTTAGAGACGAAGGAGAGGTAGAGGAGGAGAAGAAGGTGGTGGAAGGGGAGGAGAAGAAGATGAGGAGGAGAGGAGGTGGAAGAGGAGGAAGAGGAGGAGGAGGAGAAGAGGAAGTGGAGGAGGTAGAGAAGGGAGGAGGTAGCGGAGGGCCAGGTGTGGAGGAGGGGAGAAGGTGGTGGTGGAGAAGGAAGAGGAGGAGATGAGGTGGGGGAGGAGGATAGGAGGGAGTGGAGGAGGAGGGAGGGATGGAGGAGGGGGAGGGAGAACGTGGGGAGAAGGTGACGGAGAAGACGGGGAAAGAGAGAGGTGGAAGAGGAGAGAGAGAGGAGATGAGAGTGAGGAGGCGGGAGAGGAGAGGAGCAGGAGAGGGGTGGGGGGAAGAGGAGTAGGGGATGGCGCCTCTACCTCTCTACCTCATCCACTCCCCCTCCTCCTCCTCCTCCCCACGTTCTCCCCCTGTCCTCCTTTCTCCGTGCTCCTCTCCTCTCCTTCCACCTGGCTCCTCCTCTCCTCTTCCTCTCTTCCACCATCATTTCCATCTCCTCCTCTCCTCCCTCTCTCCTCCCCGCTCACCACCACCCTTCTCCCCCTCCTCCACACCTGGCCCTCCGGTACCTCCTCTCTTCTTCTACTCCTCCCTCTCTTCTCCTCTCCTCCTCCTCCTCTCCTCCTCCAACACTCTCTCTCCTTCTTCTCCCCTCCCCCTCCACCACCTTCTTCCCTTCTTCCTCTACTTTCTTACTTCGTCCTCAACTCTTCCTCTCGCTCTTCACACCTTCTCCAACACGTTCTCCCCATTCCTCCTCCTCCACCTCCACTCCCTCCGTCCTCCTGCCTCCTCATCCTTCCTCCTTCCTCCTCCTCCACCACCTTCCACCAACCCCTCTCACTTTGCTCCTCCTTCTCCTCCTCCAATTATCCCCCTCGTCCTCCTCCTCTCCTCTCACTTCTCCCCCTCCTCATCCTCCAACGTTCTTCCCCATTCCTCCCCCCTCCTCCTTTCTCCACCTCATCTTCTCTCCTCCCTCTCCTCCTCCACCACCTTCTCCCCACTTTTCCCCTCTCCTCAGCCACCTTTTCCCTCTCCTCGACTCCTGCCGTGTATCACTGTCAACACATGTGAATACATAAACACCCAACAAGTGAGTAAAATGTCGGGCGTAATTGTCTGGGGCAGGTAAATGTCGAGGGGTAATGGCCGGGGGGTAAATGTCCGGGCGGTGATATGCTCTGCCGGGTAAATGTCTGCGGGGTAATGTCCCGTGGGGGGTAATTATCCGGGGGTATTGTCCGGCTTCGAGTAATTGTCCAGGGGGCTGATTGTCCGGGGGCGTGAATGGCATGGGGGTAATGGTCCGGGGGTAATTGTCCGACAGGTGAAACGTCCGGGGGGTAATTGTCGGAGGGTAATTTGTCCGGGTGGGGTAAAATGTGCGGAAGATTAATTGTACGCGAGGTAAATGTCCGGGGGTACTTGTTCGGGCGGGTAACATGTCCGGGGGGTATTGTCCGGATCGGGGTAAATGTGGGGGGTAAAATGGCCGGGGGGTTAATTGTCCGGGGGGTAATTGTGCGCGGGATTGTCGGGGGTGGGGAATGGCATGGGCGAGGTAATTTGTCCGCAGCGGCGTAATGTGGGCGGAGGGGTAATTGTTCCGTGGGGTAATGTCGGGGCAGTCCGTGGTAATTGTCCGGGGGGTAATTGTCCGGGGGGTTAAATTGTCCGGGGGTGTGAAATGGCGATGGGGGGTAAATTCTGGGGTAATTGTCCGGCGGGGTAATTGCCCGAGGTGTAAATGTCCGGGAAGTAATTTGTCCGGGGAGTAAATGTCCGGGGGGCAATTGTCCGGGGGTAAATGTTCGGGTAAAATGTCCGGGGGGTTATCTGTACCGGGGGGCGTAAATGTCCGGCGGGGAAATTGTCCGGGGGGTATTGTCGGGGGGTAAAATTTTTCCGCGGGCGGGATAATGTTCCGTGGGTGGTAATGTCGGGGTGTATTCGTCCGGGGCAGGGAATGGCATGGGCGGGGTAAATGCATGGGGAAAGTACATTGTCCGAGGGTAACTTGCTCCGGGGTAATTGTCCGGGGGGTGATTGTCCCGCGGGGATAGTTGTCCTGATACCATTTACTAATTATATACTCATTTACTATTATAAACAAGTATATATATACTATTACTATTAAACAATATATATTTACACTATTACTATATATACTTTAGGATACCACATGGGTCAAACAACTCTCTCTTAATCTTCTTCTCTTATAGTAGCACGATCGTGCCTATACTCACCCCCCCCCCCCCACACACACACACACACTACACACACCACACAGATGCACACGCACTCGACACGGCACGCACGGCGCGTGCACGCTCTCCATGAGCCACCATCCTCACCCTATTCGCGCTGCCGTACGCACAAGGGCACGTACTCAGTAACATGTTAAGTCTGGTTCTCTCTCCTCCCCACTCTCCCTATCTCTCCCACTTCTCTCTCTCTCTCTCTCTTTCTCTCTCTCTCTCTCTCTCTCTCTCTCTCTCTCTCCTTTTCTTCTCTTTTTTTTCTCCTCTTCTGTTGTGTGTCTCTGTCTGTCTGTCTGTCTGTCTGTCTGACTGTTGCCTCTCTTTCTCTTCTCTCTCTCTACTCTCTCTTCTCTCTCGACAATACTCTCTCTCTCTCTCTCTCTCTCCTCGTCTCTCTCTCTCTCTTCTCTCTCTCTCTCTCAATCTCTCTCTCTCTTCTCTCTCTCTCTCATTTCTCTTTCCTTTTCTGCTCGTTAGCGTCTCTCTCTCTCTCTCTCGTCTTCTTCGCTCTCTCTCTCTCCCCTCGTCCCATTGCCTCTCTCTCGCTCTCTCACTCGCTCTCTCTTTCTCTCTCTCTCTCTCTCTTTCTTTTCTTTCTTTCTCTCTCTCTCTCTTTCTCTCTCTCTCTCTTTCTGCCCTCTTTGTCTGTATTCTATATCCTCTTTGCGCGCGCTCTTCCATCCATCTATCAATTCTATCTATCTACTTATTGTGTCTATCTATCTATTTGTCTATCTATCCTACTACATTCATCACTTCCATCCATCTCTAATCTATCCATCATCCATATCATCCATCCAGTCTATTCCACCCATCCATCCAGGGCCATGGCAACCAGTCCATCCATCCATCCATCCATCTATCCATCCATCGCATCCATCCATCACATATTCCCCATTCATTTCATCCATCCTCGACTCCTCCATTCCATTCATCCATCCATCCATCGCATCCACCTTCCATCCATTCCACCATCCCATCCATCCATTCATCCATCCATTCATCCATCCATCTATTCATCCATCCATCTATCCATCCATCCATCCATCCATCCCTCCATCCATCCATCCATCATCCATCCATCCATCCTATCCATCATCCCCATCCATCTATCTAAATTTCTAGAACTATCAGCTAGCTTAGCTAGCTATATATCTATATAGCTAGATATGTAGATTGTTCACATTCAGACATACACACGCGCGCCCACACACACGCGCACACGCACACGTGCGCGCACACACACATGCGCACACACACACACACACACACACACACACACACACACACACACACACACACACACACACCCATACACCACTCACACGCACACAACACAGACAAACAGACACACACACACACACACACACACACACACACACACACACACACACATGCATCATGCTAGATACAATAATGTAACCCAAACACAGGATAGGTTTGTCCCCCACCCTATACTGTGTTTGGGTTACATTATTGTATCTAGCATCATGCATGCACTCGTGTGTATATTCATCACTCATAACCGCAATTACACATATTTTCTGCGAGCGGCGGCGTGACGCTATAGATGTGTATATCACACACCACCAGCATGTCGCCTGCCACCGCGCTCACACATGTGTGTCACATTTTGCCACGAGCTATTACCTCGAATTAATGTTAGTTGTGATTTCTCGACACCGGTTTTTATTCCGTTCTGATTGCAACGTGTTAAACAGGAGGTGAGTAAAAAACTCCCCGACTCCGCTGCTGCTGCTGCTGCTACGCACTGCGCAGGGCATGTGGCTGCTGCATCACTGTTGATGGACGCCCGAGTTTAGAGTAATCATTTTCCGCCAACATATGTGATGCTGTTTACGTTTCTGCGCTCGAAATTCACTCATCGGATTTCGAGTCGGGCCTGCGCGGGGCGAAACGAGACTTAGAACGCTCGGCAAAGCAAACTGCTTGGCGCGCGTGTGTGCCAGTTATAAATAACGAGCAGATGGGGCCGGTATGAAGCTGCCCTCCCCCCCAAAGACCCGGGATGTGCGAGACCTGACTATATATACTAGCGTACAGGCGGGCGCGTGATGCACATCGTGTAATGAGGATCGAGGTAGAACTGTATAGGATGCAGGCCCAGCGCCCGGCCACCGAGCGCGGAAATAAGAACTCAAAAACTCCGAGAGAGACGTCGTAGCAAAAAAGCCTAGCGATGAACGGCCGCTTGCTGAGTGCAACTAAACTTTACTTCGCGATTTCTGCGTGAGAATAACGAGGGGAGATCACAGCGGATGTGGCAGCGAGCTCGGCTATCCTACCCCCCATGCAGCGTTGCCAGCTAGTGGTATCTGTGCGGGATAGCGTGCGGCTTGAAATGTCAGCTCGAGCAGGAAAACTCACCTCTTAAGGATGCGCTCGCGTTAGGCGACGTAAGCGCCTTCGCTCAACACATTAGTCGCACTTGTTGGTGCTGCGATTGAGGTGACTACACGCGGGGCATTCGCCAGGATTTAGCTCGTACTACTGCGTAAGTCTGCAATTGATCTGGTTTAAGTCCGTACTGCGCCTTTGCGCATATGCCGATGACTTTGTGTGAAGCATCTTGAATTGTCTTCTTAGCTACTGGCATGCACTGAAATATAGTGTATTGCCATCTGAATTTCTGTATCTTCCTCTCCCCTCTCTCTCTCTCTCTCTCTCTCTCTCTCTCTCTCTCTCTCTCTTGCTCTCTCTCTCTCTCTCTTCTTCCTCGCTCTCTCTCTGCTCCCTCTCCGCGTCTCTCTCCTCATCTCTCTCTCTCTCTCTTTTTCTTTCTATTCGTCTCTCTCGATCTTTTTTTCTTTCTATTCGTTTCTCTCTGTGTGTCCTTCTCTCTCTCCTCTGTAGTTATATATATATATATGATATATATATATACGTATATATTATATCATATATATATACAGAGTAGATAATAGCGGAATTTCCGTTATATATCGTATTTGAATTATATATATATCTAAGAGCCTATAAAGATAATATAAGAGATTAGTAGTTGCATTGATAGTATCTATATCTAGCTATATAATTTTATAAGGGTATATATATATATAATTACTTTTGCGATGTGTGGTGTGTGTGTGTGTGCTATCGTGTTGTGTGTGTGTCGTGATGTGTGGGTTTTGGTGTGTGTGTGTTGTGTGTGTGTGTGCGTGTGTGTATGTGTGTGTTGTGGTTTTTGTGTGCTGGTGGCGGTGTGTGGTGTGCTGTGCTGTGACCAATGTGTTGGTGTGTTGTTGTGGTGTGTGTGTGTGGGTGTGTGTCGTAGTGTGTGTGATGTGTATGTGTGGTTGCTGTTGGTGTTGTGTCTGTTGTGTGTGCTGGCTTGTGTTGGTGTGTGTGTGTGTTGCTGTGTGTGTGTCGATGGGTGGTGTTTGCTGTGTGTGTGTTGGTGTGTGTGTAGCGCGTCAAGTGTGTGTGTTGTGTGTTGGTGTGTGTGGGTCGGTGTGTGTGGTGTGTGTGTGTGTGTGTGTGGTGTGTTGTGTGTGTGTGTGTGTTGATGTGTGTGTGTGTGTGGTGTGTGTGTGTGTGTTGGTGTGTGATGTGTGTGTGTTGGTGTGTGTTGTGTGTGTGTGCCAGGTGTGCTATGTTGTGTGTGTGTGTGGTGTGGGTTGGTGGTGTGTGTTGGTGAGGTGGTGTGTGCGGGTGGGCTTGTGTGGTGTTTGTGCAAGCTCACGGGATGTGATGTGTGTGTGTGCTGGTGTGCACTGGTGCGCAGTGTGGGTGTGTTGTTGTGTTGTGTGTGTGTGTGTGTGTGTTTTGTGATCCAAACTGTGGGGGTGTGTGGTGTGTGTGTTAGTGTGTGGTGTGTGGGACGCATGTGTGGTGGGACCGAACGGTGTGTGCTGTGTGTTGTGATAGTGAAAACCGAAATGTGTGTCGTGTGGTGTGCTGTGCTGTGTGTGTGGTGAGTGTCGCTGTGATGTTGGTGTGTGTTGGTGTGTGTGTGTGTGTGTGTGTGCTGTGTGGGTGTGTTGTGGTGTGTGTCGGTTCTGGATAGGAAAATGTGTTGGTGTGGGTGTGTGTCTTGTTGGTGTGTGTGTGTGTGTGTGTTGGTGTGTGTGTGACGGATGTGTATGTGTGTGTGTTGTTGGTGTGTGTGTGGTGGTGTGTGTGTGGTGTGTGTGTGTGTGTGTGATAGTGGCGGTGGGTGTGCGTCAAATGTTACACATTGTATAATGTTTTCACACGTTAGTTCGGTGATTGATGTGTTGTGTGTGTCGTTGGTGTGTGTGGGGTGGAGCATTAGTGTTAGTAACTACTCCATTAAAAATCACAAAGAGTCGAGACCAATCTTCAAGGGATGATCGTGTGTTGTGCGAGTGTCAGTGTGTTGGATTGTGGAAGAGTGCTGACTGTTCTGGTGTCTCATTTGGTGTTGGTGTGTAGAAGTGTGTGTTGGTGTGTTTCAGCGAACGTCAATCCTACCGAGAAGCAGCTGTGTGTGCCGGTGCATGCGTCGCGTGCGGTGCGTGCATTGCGCTCACGCCGCTGCGGTTGTGTGTGTTGTGTGTTGTTTGTCCGTCTCTCTCTCTCCTCTTCTCTCTCTCTATGTCCGGTCTGCTATCATCTCTCTCTGTGTTTGTCCGTCTCTGTCTCGTGCTGTATTCTCTCCATGTCCGGTGCTCTCTCTACCCGTCTGTCCTCTTTTCTCGGCGTCACGTCTTTTTCTTGTATCTAATATTAATGGAGCGCCTTAATTACAAACGAATAAAAATCTTCTAGTATCTGCTTATTCTAGATCCTGGCCATGAGCAACTGAGCAGGACAGGATGTTAACAGTGCGCCTGGCATCTATATTTACGTTCTGCTAAGCCAACATCGCCAGCTGCACTTTAATTAATACGCACTTCGGACGCATTCTTGTTCAGAGTAGACAGTACATGAAGAATAAGCATGCGTTAATAAGTATTATAGTGACTGAGGCAATGATCATGATGGCTTGATGATGATCGATGATTATTATATTATTATTATTATTAGTAGTAGTAGTAGTAGTAGTTAGTAGTAGTAGTAGTAGTAGTAGTAGTAGTAGTATTTGTGCTCGTAGTAGAGTGAGTAGAGTAGTAAGTAGTAGTAGTCGAGTAGTAAGTAAGTAGTAGTAGTAGTAGTAGTGAGTAGTATAGGTAGCAGATAGTAGTAGCCATGTATTATTATTATCTATTGATTATATTATTATTATTATTGTTATTAATGTTATATTAATCTCGATCCTATTATTGTATCGAATTATGTCTATCTATGTATTGTTTCATTATTATATATTTTTAACATTTGTTTTTTACATTTATCGTTAACAAATTTATTTTGGTATTTGTCTTCAGTTCAGGAAAATAATATAGCAAGCCTAGACACAGACATTGCCTGCTTTGTTAACGAATCGAACATCGACCCGCCACTACAATCATCGTTACCATCGCCACGCTAGCAGCCCCAGACGCATACAGAGACATGCATTGCAGGGCTCAGCTCATACCTGCATCTCGCCGCTGACCACGTGCGCAAGCGGAGGCGCCAGCGCCCTCAGCCGAGCGCGCGACAGTTAGTTACCTCCCCTCACTCGCCACAGGAAGTCTCTGGCGCGCCGCCGATTTGAGGGAATGGCAGGAGAATGCGTGCTCGAACATTCGGAACGCGCATCTTCCTTTGGCATCGCCGTACACCGAGCGCCGCACGGAAGCGCTGCGCTTCTGCGCCGGTCCCAGCAGCCGAGCGACCGACGTGGCTGCATGCCACACTGTTAATCTGAACGCCACGAAAGCTGCACGCCACCTGTCGCAGCGCCGCTGTCGCGCATCACGTATCACGGGTCACGACACGGTGGGAGGTGTAGAAAACACCGGAATGAATCAGCTGCACGTGATTGCTCTACCTTCGGACGTGTGTGGGCGCCGGAACTCATTGCTTACTGTGGCATAACCTGATATCCGTCTCGTCTGAGAGAATAAGCACGAGCTGGCGGATCAGATGTCATTCTCGGGTCGTCGTGCCAGCACGCTCGATCTTTTACGACGGCAAATACCTTGGCCGCGTCGCTCTTTGGGATTCTTACGTCAGCGATGCGCTTTGCGGTGCTCGGACTGAACTTGATTCCGCCATTGGGGCGTTTCAGTGGTTTCAGTGCGGCTATCTCGGTGGCGCACCGAATCGCTCCGCCGGGATTAGGATGTGGGTGTCTGCGAGGGAAGGTAACATGGGCTGAACATGGATCAACATAGATGTCTCGCATACTGACGGTGAGTCCCGCTCGCAAGGAACGAGATAGCGCCTTGCATCCTTTCGCGGTGTAGAAGCCAGAGACCCGCGGGATCGTAGTTACGTCTTGTCGGTTGGATGGAGTGTATCCGAGACAGAGCGCCCGGTGCGTACGGCTGGCCGTGGCCTACCCACCCTCTCTCGCTTCGCCGGGTTTTCAGCGCACGGCTTGTTCTCGGTCCGTGGCCATATTGCAAGAGCTCGGTCGCCACTGGTGCGTCGCATACTCGGTAGCGCAGCGCCGAGCGGTAGTTCTACTTATACACTGTCGCGGTCCAAGACTTCGTCACTCGTCTCCCTCCCCTACGAATAGCAGATTCCGTCCCCACGGACAGTGGTACTCCAGCGTGTCACACGTGTCGTCTCGTCGCGCACCCTGCCTCATGATTCGTGTTTGAAGTTCTAGAGGCATTCCGCGGATTCCCTGCAGCGGTTGGCGTGCTCGTCCTGTGAAACTGTGCAAAGTATTATTACTGAGTATTCACGCGACTTCACTGTGCCTGTTACACTGTTCTCCCAACTGTCTGACAACTACTTTCCTTTTTCATAGTCACCCCCTGTGAATAAAGGAATAGAGTCCACGGGTGGATCTTAGCCCAGTGATGACGTGAGCCCGTCGGCATGTCATTTTACATCCGTGCTCATGGTTCAGGCAGCGTGTCGCGCAAATGAAGTAGGACCTCTATCGTCATGTTCAAGAGGCTGTCCGACACCTGTTTCCGTACGTTTGAATTCTGCTTCGCAGTCGCAGCGGTCCAGCGTCCGCATAGTTACTACACAGTCCGCATAGGCGCCAGAGGATTTTCCCATCTGTCTACGCGGCGCGCTCAGCGGACGAGCCAACATCGCTGCGGACGCTCAGGAGATCCGCCGTAGATCTTACTTTACAGTGATCGAAGTGTCGCTCGCGCAGTATCAGAGAGAACGCTCGCGCACTCGGCGCTGTAGGGCTGATGGTCGGTGACTAACCACTTGCACTTGTGTCCGTCCAACCGATTCGCGCTGGCTGTGGGCCGAGAACCAGGTGCCAAGACGTCTACATGGTACCCAGTTCTCCACCCGGACCGCAGAGTCGTCGGCGATATCCGGGGAGTGGACGGATCGGCGCACCGCCGACGATCGTCGACTACACAGTTTCGGGATGCGCGCTAGGGAGAGTCCGGGAAACTAACACTTGGACAGGGAACGCATACTGACGATGGACGTGGATGATGTACATAGTGAACTTCGGCCAGCACCAAGTATTATTTATGTGTTGTGTATGTGAGTGTGTGGGCGGTGGTGTGTGTATGTTGGTGTGTGTTTTGTTTGTTTGTGTGTGTGTGTGATGTGTGTTGTGTGTGTGTGGTGTGTGTGGTGTGTGTGTGTCGTGTGTGTGTGTTGTGCGGTGTGTATGTGTGTGGGTATATACTATATATATATATCTATATAGTATATATATATATATAGTATACTGGAATGCTGTGTTGTGACAAACAGCGCGCGCACAGTGAGTGAGTGCCTGTGCGCTCATCCGGGAGTTTCATCGTATTTTCATGCTATCTATGTATAAGCTAGTCGCGTGTATGTGTTGGTAAGTAAGAAGTAGGGAGTAGAACATTTAGAAGAAAACATTCGGCAACAAACAGTCAAATAGTAAAGCCCCAATCATACTCAACGTCGTTCATTTAAATAGGAACAATAATTATTAGTGGCATATGACATAATTTTCATGCATGGCTATTCTATAATATCGTAATACATAACAGCATCCCGAAATACCACGTGGGGCATATCACAGTCGAAACATGCGCCCAACTAGTCAGATCGGACTAGCCTGTTTGGTTTTACATTTCCTCCTTCTACTATGAACGCCAATCAACCATATACTAATTCCTTATACTTAGTAGTTCTCATTATCATGCCTCCCAGGATAAGCTAAGATGTTTGCTGTCTAGAGCCATTACTTGGTCGGCCGCCACTACGGTAGTGTGACGTAACTATATTGCACTAAAGGCGTCTTATAGTTACATACTCAGCTATGTAGAGCTGCTGAGGTCAGGGTTGGTGTTAGGCTGTAAGGTTAGACTGACTCGCGTAGAAGGAGCATGATTTGTTGCCTCGGAAACCTATCTGTCGACCATAACGCCTATCGGCCGCCGCAGCCACAGGAAATATGGGGTGAGTCTGAAGGCAAGGGCTAGGATCTAAGTGTCTATGCTTAACAAAATTCTAACCTCTGACGGCGCTAACGCGTTCTTATGCCATGGGGCATCAATTCGCGATTTATTCATTGGTTATCGGAATCGTAATACTGGGTGGTAGTGTTCGCGATAGGCGCTATCATTAACCTAAACCGTAAACCCCAACGCCCCAGCCTCAATCCTAACCCATCCTAGCGCATTAAGTCTCCGCCGTAATGTTGGCCCCTGGCTTCGTCACGGCACGCTGTGAGAGCTATGAGTTGCCAGCGCAAAGACAGGCAGATTACGACCCGGTTCGTTTCAGAATCCTAACTACGCCAAAGCGCTCGCAGTTCCCGGAACAGCTCATCTTGGCCTCGTTACACAAACAAGACGCGTCAGCTATTTTGTCTTTGACGAGAGGAGAGCAGTGCAGGACGAGTCCGCGTACTAAACACTTGCGAAATCTGGGAGAAGCTTGTTCCATCGCTGGAGAAGAAGAGAGAGGTAGGCATTATGGTGGCGTGTATGAGCGACCAGCGGCCGCGGCGTCGTCTTTTTAGGATAGGCGAGTGAAAAACCACGACTGCCTTATCGAGTTAGCGAGAGCGCACAGCTAGAGTACTTCTCGCGGCATCACCGCAGCGTAGCAGCATGATATATTTTCAACAGTTTTATACGCAAATAGTAAGATCAGGAGGTTAATTTAGGAAATTCGTATAGATATATGAGGCTCAGTTACAGTTCAGATAGAGGCTCATATTGTATAAATTTATGGTATACATTTATCCGCTGCCACTGACGAACGACAGGATAGAAGCTCATCTTAAACAAAATTTGCGTTTCATATCGTAAAGCGAATATGGAAACGTTTCTCTTTGAAAAACGAATCTTTATAGGACGCGGCTACCTGGCGGTAAAAATTGTTTAAGCGATGTAGTTATTTTGAGAAATCGCACACATCTCTTTAAGGACATCAATGAGCGACGAACTCCAATATCTGCATGTATTCAAAGATAGTTCATATATCAAATATTGTAAGCTGAGAAAGTCGTCAATATTAATATCTAGTCCTCAACAAACAACTTGCTGCTAAAATGTGTCCTACGAATACAGAGGAATTAAGTAGTGATTGTCTGGTTTGGCGAAAGAGCTCTGTGTGATTAACGTTGGAGTAGTACAGGCGTTTACCAGTTGATACGTATAAGGATGACATATAGGACGTAATTACTGCTCTTCAAATAGGCCACGACTGATTGCTCACTGCATGTCCTAAATAATGTGGCGGTATAACGTGCAGACATCATGACGAATGTTATATTACTTGGAGCGTTATAGGGATTCAGCGAGATAAAAGCAATGGTGATCTCTCTTGGAAATCTACATTGCTCGTACTCCGTGATAGATACTGGCGCTGTTGAGAGTACCTATACAACGCAGCAATATTATTTCATGATGGCATCATACTTAAGCTGGTGTGTGTTTTGAATACATTCGCCGCTCGCTACGACATAGTAGGTTGCTGTAAACTCGAGCATACGTTTCGCGCATGTTGCTACTTCTGATGGTTAGCTCCACCATCTTGTCAGGCCGCTAGCGCAGCTAACAATAGCTATGCGTGTGCGCTCATCACACTGCTTCTGCTCTCTTGCCCCCCCCTCCCCCACACACCGTACACACAAAATCTGCGCGCAAACGCGGCGTACACATCACGTCATACATACCGAACACACAGCGACACACACACACACACACACAGCACACACACACACCACACACACACAGCACACACACACACACACACACCGACACACAACACGCACGCACGGCACAGACACGCACGCACGCATGCACACAGCATACACTAAAGGACAGTAGCCTTTAGATTTTACTGATACAACTGTACATACGGTTG